GAACTTTAGATTCGCTACGGCTACGAAATCTGGTACGACTACGAGATTTTTTCCGTATCTGCTACTACAGACTTTTTATCGTCCTTTCTTTTGCATACCACATCTTTACATAGATATCTTATATACACTAGATAGCGCGCATCTCTTTTAGTAAAATTGAAGCCAAGAATATTCCAGCGGTTACTCCCATTTGAATAGATGGCAGCCATATTGGAGTTTCCCACTCGCTAATAAACGCTTAAAAACAACAATAACTTTCAACATTTGAATAGTTTGGAAATGTATTTGGAATAGGTTTAACTTAATGTTTAAGTTCCCTGTTTAAGAAATAGAAAACATACGAGTCTTCTCATTTCATGGGAATATCCTGAGCCTGCAATCACGGCTTCAATTGTTGAATTGCAGAATAATTAGATACACTATCTAGTGTACATAAGATATCTATGCATCTTTATAGCAACAGTTGCGCCAAACCACGTACTATTATAAGTTTTTAGTAGCTGATATTTAATGGAAAAAATCTCGTAGTCTTACTAGATTTCGTAGCCGTAGCGAATCTAAAGTTCCCTATTGTGAACAACGCCTAAACAACTTTTGGTAATTTACCATGCCAGAAGCTTAACTTGAGTTGGAGGAGCGGGGGGTTAAAGGTATGTTTACACGCTTCGATTTGTCGGGCCGATTCAGCTTTAGTTAAATGATAATTGAAAAATACGCTGTCAACGTCATCTGGCGACATCGTCAACTGACGTCAACTGTTTTCGGCAAAACCTGAAAACGGCCGATTAATCGCAGCGTCCAAACGTACCTTAAAGGCTCGTTCACACTTGCAATTTTTGCTGCGATTTCTGGTGCAATTTTCTCCTTCTGATGGATGTGAACGAGTGGATAAGTTATGAATGTTCAGATGAGGGTACATGTACTCAGAACATTCGTAACTCATCTACTCGTTCACATCCATCAGAAGGAGAAAATCGCAATGGAAATCGCGGTAAAAATTGCAAGTGTAAACGGGCCTTAATGGATCTATTACCTAATGAACAAAATTTTGATCTAGACAAGTCCGCTTTCTGAAAAAAGGTATCAATTTCCCGTGCGAACATTTCGCAACGAAACTTCGGAATATTACTAATTTTGTGATGCTCTTTCAAGACGTGATAAAATTTTTGTCTCGACTTGTCTAAATCAAAATTTTGTTCATTAGGGAATAGGTCCATTAATTAAGAAGCGCAACGTGGTAAACGCGACGGAGGTAAAAATACGTACATTTCCTGTTCCATTTGACTGAGGCTTCACCCCACCTCCACTATCATGATGGCCATTCCCGGCCATGTTCCCCAGGGGTGACCACACACCCAATGCAATATTCAGACCAAAACTGGAGGACGGTTGAAATGATGCCTTGTCTCCGTTAGGTGACGGAGATACTCGATTACCAGGCGACAAAGGCCGATTGCTGCCGACTGCCAGAGACGTAGGAGGGACAGGCAGAGTGGGACTGGGGAAGGTCGGGCTACGGTGACTACCGACGGCACGAGAAGTTACGAGCGGTACCGAGTCTTTGATGTTCGTAGCGACAGTTGATGGCTTGGTTGGATGGCTTGATGAAGCTGGGGTCGCTGAGGGTGAGGTGGGTACAAAACTGGGGGCTAGGGAAGTGAGAACACAATAAGTACAAGTTACATGAAACGTGTTTGCTTTGCTAGTGACAACTGAGGAAACTATTAAAGCACACTTGTGCGTTAATTAAAAGAATCGGCAAGAAATTTTCAGTCTATCTATTTCAAAAGAACTTTCTCGACGCTTTTTACCGATATCGATGAAAAATTTAGGACAAAAAGTACTTGACAAGAACTGATAGTGCTAATCATCCTTACTTGCAGCTGAGAGCTAAGCTGAATGGCAAAGGACGCAGCTCAAACCTGATCGAGTCGAATGTTTTAAGTAAAGGCGCCTCAAGCAGCCATCTTATGACTCGTGTCTGTTCACGGGGCACGACTTCAGTGGAAGGGTCAGTATTAAAGGGGTGAATCCCAACACACCCTATCAACATTCCCTGTGAGAGGAAACCGAGTACCCGGAGAAACCCACGAGTTTCGGTAGAGCGTTGAATGACTCTTTTCATATAAGTGTCATGTGAGGTGACAGGCGCTTACACTGACTACTGCGCCGCAAATTTCGAAACCGTCGACGGTCGAGCACATCATTGATGGTCGAACACATCATTAATCTCGTTCCCAGATCGCGCTAGCGATAATTAGCGCGTGAAACCATTTGGTGACATCTTACACCAAGTCGATGAAAAGATTTCGCGCGGCAT